GGCGGAGTGGATGGTTGGGCGGCCTGAGGCATGGCGTTTGAGCTCGGTGATGCCAAGCTCGTTGAGAATAAGGCCCTCGTTGTTGAGCACCCAATCCTCTCCACCATAGTGTGACACATCGTCGCCTTGGAAGGGGAGGCCGGCGATGCGTCCAAGCCGCTCCACGGTGAGCTCGATCGGCGTGCTCTTGACGAGCGAGCAGAGCACGTCGTCCTCACGGCGGAGGTTGGAGTAGAAGGCCCGAATCAGCGCCGGGTTGATCTCCTTGCGTGCCCGGGAGACAAACGGCCAAAGGCCGGATTGATGAAGCTGCGCGTCGAGATCGTCGTAGCCCTGCAACTCAGGGTAACGCTCCGGGATGATTCGTGAGGGAGCCACAACCCGTTTAGAGAAGAAGGTGAGAAAACGGGTGTGCTCCTCCTCGGAATCGAACCAGAGATACGTCCCGTCGCCGTAGTCAATGCGATCCTCGGGATTGGTTACCGGTGCCCGGGATTTGGCCTTGGATTTTCCGGAAGCTCCTGACCTGTTCTTATCTTTGGCCATGGTGATGAAGAAATCTCAAAAAGAATGTTAGAGAGGATAAAATATGCAAGGAGATTGAAGAAGTTTGTGTTTGTGTGTGTAAAAAAGAGAAGAGGGGGTCCAAATATATAGGAGAGAGGGTGGCCAACGTTCAAAAATTTGAAAAAAGAGCTGTTGGAGCAATTAAAGCAGGTGCAACGGATATTTTTTTTTGAAAAATTTGACCAGAACAGCGATGTTCTAGAGGCGACATCACTGTTGGGACAGCGCTGTTGTTCCTTGTACAGCGGTGTTCTGCGTCAAGTTTTAAAAAAAGCAAGAGTAAAACAGACAGCGATGTTGAGTGCCCTACAGCGATGTTTCAAAAGTTTCTAGAATGGTGAAAGGGTTTGAACCCATTTGAACAGCGCTGTTGGGTTTCTCTACATCGCTGTTTTACGAAAAAAAATTTGTAAAATTGGACAGCGCTGTTGCTCTAAACGACATTGCTGTTGAAAAAGTTTCTGGAAGTAAAAATGTAAGGTACTCCCTGGGACAGC